GTAGTGGCGCCAAGGACAGGTACGCTTTCAGATTTCTTAAGGCATCAACGCATTCTGAATTCCACTATAGCCCATGATCCTTCCTTAGTACATTGAAATATTTATGGCATTTGTCTGATGATTGTGAGATGAACCTCGATAGGGCGGCTATTCGTCCTGTCAATTTCTGTACTTGCTTCTTGCTGGTTAAGGTCTCCGGTATTCCTTCGATGGCCCTGATCTAATCTGGGTTGACCTCGATACCCATTTGTGACACCAAAAAACTAAGGAACTTTCCTGAGGTCACACCAAAGGCGCATTTATCGGGATTCGGTTTCATTCTGTATTGCCTCAATATTTCGAAAGCTTCCTTCAGATGACCAATATGATCCTCCTTCCTTTTTAACTTCACTAGAATGTCGTCTATGTAGACCTCTATAGTCTTTTCGAGTTGTTCTTTGAACATCTTGGTAACTAACCTTTGATACGTCGCCCCTGCGTTCTTGAGTCCGAACGGCATGACTCTGTAGCAGTACATTCCTTGGTGAGTGATGAAAATGGTCTTTTCTTGGTTTTCTTCTGTCATTAGAATTTGGTTGTAACCAGAATAGGCGTCTAAAAAACTTAATAGTTCGTGCCTCGCCGTTGCATCGATGAGTTGGTCGATATGCGGTAACGAAAATGAATCTTTTGGGCATGCTTTGTTCAGGTCGATGAAGTCGACACACATTCGCCACTTTCCATTCTTCTTTTATACCATGACCACATTGGCGACCCACTAAGGATACTTTGATTCTCGGACGGAACCATTAGAGAGCAACGTATCAACTTCTTCGCTGACTGCCTCATTGATTGCAACATTGAACTTTCTCCTCACTTGTCGTACTGGCAGGTAAAGAGGGTCGACATTTAGCCTGTGTGTAGTGTTGTCCCTTGGGAGTCCCAGCATATCTGAATGGGAAAAGGCAAATAAGTCGGCATTGTTAGTTAAGAACTCATGGAACTTACCTGGTTCAGAGAGGTTATGTCCGATATACGTTTTTTTGTGTTGTTGGTATTATCCAATTGAACGAGGTCGAGGACTTCTACGGTTGCCTTGTAGGCTTCTACGACATCCGGGTCTTTGTTGGCCTTTATTTGTGTGTCTGGTTTGGTCCCCGATACGACTGATTGTTATGCTTCCGCTCTTTCCCCTGTAATTGTTGGGTGTGTGTGCAATCTTGGGCAATTTAGTAGCATTCTTGGGTGGTGCGTTGCTCGCCCCGGATGCTAAATATTCCCCATGGGGTAGGAAATTTGATTACTTGATAGAAACTTGACGGAATGACTCGCATGACATGTATCCATGGATGCCCTATGATAGCATTGTAGGCTGTTTCCTGGTTCATGACGTGAAACGTCATTTCCAGAGTGACTCCTCCCGCTAGAACGGGTAGCACTATATCTCTAGAGGTTCGTTCCACTGCATTATTAAAACCCGTTAGTATTTTGTAGCGCAATACTATCTTATCCTCGAGTCTCATATGTATGAGGACTCGTGGATGAATAATACATGCGGCGCTTCCGTCATCCACCATTATTCTTTTTACATCGGTATCCGCGATACGTGAAGTTATAACCAAAGCATCATAGTGAGGAAAAGACAAATCGTTGGTATCCGACTTATCGAAGATGATCCTATCTTCGAGGTCGTTGTACCGTTTGTGAGCGACTGTCCGCTTGAGTTTGTGTGTGGTGGTGAATTTCACACAGTTGATTACAGTATCATCGCCGCTGCCAATGATCATTTGTATAGTACGAGCTGGTGAAGGTGGTTTTGGGGGTCTTTGAGGTTGATCGCGTCTATGAGCGAAATTAACCCGCCATCGATCACTTAGCAGTTCTTTCAGGTGTCCCTAGTTTAGCATTCTTACCACTTCCTGTCGCAGACCTATGCAGTTTTCGGTCTTGCGTCCCCTTTCCTAGTGGAATTCACATAGAACGTTCGATCTCCGGGTGCTCGGATCAGACTTCATCTTTTGCGACCACGCACCTTTGTGCCGAGCTTTTCCAGTGCATACACTATTTCTGAAGGAGAAACGCAAAAGTTATGAGCAGATAATAGTGGAGGCGTACCTCTTTCATTTCGGTGTGGCACGGTGTGTCGAGGCATGACGTTTGCATGTCGTGGAGGAGGCAGGATGGATGCCTGGATGTAGGGTTGATGCCTCTCTCAATTGAAGCGGGATAGCTGATCCCTTCGACCATCGTTGCGGCGATCTCTCCTTGTTTCGGTTTGGACAGACGTTAACCGTTGGAGTGGACCATTTATGTCGTCCTCATCGGCCCTTACTTCGGCACAATAGGCATTATGGATTTTTTCCCACGTGGAGGGAGGGTATTTCATGAGTCTACTTAGAAGTTTTTTGGTTGCTTTCGACCCGCTTCTATTTAACCCATTTTGGAAGGATGCTACAGCCGTCCCCTCTGATACGTTCGGTAGGCTCATTCATACCCTGTTGAATCGGGCTAGAAAATCCTGAAGTTCTTCGCCTGTCGTCTGCCTAACGGCGAAGATGTCATTTACACTGGCTTCTAAATTTTTTGCTCCCGCGTGAGCGGTAACGAATTTATCTGCCATTTCTTCGAACATTGATATTGATCGTACCGGTAATTGGGAATACCATGTCAATGCTCCCCCTGTTAGAGTTTCACCGAACTTTTTCAGTAGCACCAACGGCACCTGTTCTTTCGACAGATTATTGCCTTTTACTGCTGTGATGTAGTGGATTATGTGATCTTTCAGGTCTGTGGTGCCATCGTATATTTTCAACTATGGTGGCATTTTGAAGGTTTTTGGAATAGAGTGGGGAGTCTCCCCTTCACTTTATGGTTGCTCGACGAATCGGCCTCCGTCACATTTTGGTAGCAACTTCGGAGCGCCGTGTATTTTATCGACCCTTTCTTGATGCTCCTTCATCTGATCGCGGAGCGTTTTGTTCTCATTTTCTATTTCTTCCATTTTTTTAAGATGGTCGCAAGTGCATCGTTACCTACATCAATGACAGTATGAGTGTTACCCGTGCGTGGAGTTTCTGGCTCATCGGCGACAGTTGCGGTTTTTGCGTGTATTGTGCCTCCAGTATCCCTTTGAACGGGTTTGTCGAGTATACTGTTCAAGGTGTTTGTCAACTACTCTTCTAATAGCCTTTTCACAGGGGTGGTGCTTCTCCTAATGCGGCTGTCGAGATTTCCCTCTCGCGCGAGACAGTCACACTTTCGTGCGGGGGGTTGAGGCATCTCCCTCAAGTGTAACGCTTGGCGTTGCATTTTCATTGTCTTCGTTACCGGCTTCGTTGATGGAATCGAGAAGGTTGTTCGTGACATCTACTATTGCCTTTAATCTTGCTTCCCCCTTTCCTGCCATTGTTGGTCTTTTCGAGGTTAAGAAGAGGTGATTGTCCCTTCCAAGGATCTAGACGAAACTAAAATCTCAACTATAGAAATCCCCACAGACGGCGCCAAATTGTTTGACTCAAAAGATATTGGAACGTTTTTGAGTAAATCAATCAAAGAAGATGAAGGGGTAAATCTTAGCTAAGTATAATAAACTCTAGAAACAAGGGTATAAAAGATAAACACAATGAATAATATTTTTGATCTTGCAAAGATGAGTGCACGAACACCAAGGATGCCAATCGTTTACGTAGAAAAGTATTACAGTCAGTGTTCTTAGCTGTGAAAGCCAAAAAGGCCCATTTACAAGGTTGCTTTCCCACTATATATAAGGGACAAACCCCTTCTAAACCCTAAGAAACATATCACAGGAATATTCCTAGTGCCCCCTGTCGGGCCTACACTATTGTAAAAGTCATGCAATCTCTGTTCACTTGTCTGTCGTCCTCCGTAGGACGTCGAACTGCGAAGATCTCGTCGTTTGTCGTATTCATCAATGGTCGTGGTCGTCCAAATTTGGATTCATACAAAGACAAAGGTTCAAATCCTAATTACTTGGGTAAATAAGTTATAACCTCTTAGTTTTATGTACGTAGAGTCGTAGCTCAACCAGAGCCGGAGCTTGGTGGGCCGAAGATGGTTCAACCGAACCCTCTTCACCAATTATATATATATATTGGATCCCCTTAGTTTTTTTTTTTGAGTCTTTATTATTTTTATTTTTTGAATTCTTTTAGTGAGTATTCTACTTCCGCCACCGAGCTCAACCTTAATTAGATTTCTTTTTCTTCTGGAATTTCTATTAGATTGAAGGATCAGGGAAGAAGAAGTACGGAAAGAATTGAACTCACTCCTATTGTGTTATAAGGTGACTTCTACCGATACTATTAAGCTGTAAGCCTTGATTACAACCTTAGGTCTTTAAGAATTTACTACCGACATCTTTTAATTAAACACTAATGATCTCAGCTCAACTACAGGGGGATGCTTCCAAATAGGTTGATTGAAGTGATTCCATAGGGCAGAGGCAGACAAGCCAAAAAACCCTGCAAAATTGCATGCATGGATAGAATTCGTTGAAACAATTATGGATTTAGCTAGCTTGCATCATTTTACATTACATCGTTTGTATTATACTACTCTACTTTTTGATATTACATCCTGTAACATGATGCCATTTGATGTTAAGGTTAGCGGAAGCCAAAAATGTTCATGGAATCCAGCTTTTTCTTAGTTTTCTTTGATGTCACAGACTAATTATTAAAAAAATTGGTAGACGATCTCAGATTTGATTACGGAAACAGTTGATAAATAAGTGCCCTAGCCCATGTACCTAGTTCAAGCTCAATCTGTAGGAACTATTTAAACAATTAATTTTCATTCCACTAGAACTCAGTCGGGAGTTGATGATCAATATCACTGATTATCTTCTTTCTTGTCATTGAACCCTGATCTTGGGGAATTTTTTTTTAAAAAAACTAATATGTTTTTTAAAAGAGTTTAAGTTATATATATTTTCAATATAAGGAATTATAATAGTTTGCTTCCTAATTTAATTGGTAAAAGAAACATACTCGTTGATATCCAGTGACGTTAGAACAATGAATAGTACAACATAAGTATCTTCTATGCAGCGGTGGGGGAATCTTAGAGTAACGATAAAGTTATTTTTATGAGATCTATAAGTCACGGTTTCGATAGCTATAGATACTTGCATCAATGTAAGTTGTCTATATCAATATCCCGTAGGGTGCGACTCTTCCTCTTACCTTATGTAAACCTTACCTTACGTAAATAGGGGATGCGAAATGCTTTATGCACCGGACGACCCTTTTAACTATTTTCAATGCATCAGGTAAATCCCTGCCTGACTTTTATCTACATCTTGGTGGACCCCAGTGTTCTGCAAATATTTCATAATTACTAATCTAAATAATACTAATAACAATTTGGCTTCATGTTGTTGATGCATTAGGGAACTTCCTCTCCTCCTCTAAACACGTAACACGTATGGGACAACCACTTTTTAGTCTTGAGAAAAGTGTCCATTTCTCAATGCTTTCATCTGAATCTATTACCATCCACCTGATACCCACAAAAAACATAAAAATTAAACACATTTGTTAATTGTAATTGAATCTAACATAAGATAAAGATGATTAGTTTATGGTTTTAAATTTGATAAAGATAGGCCAAACCTGTAGGATGTGGTCAAACGATGGACAAAAACAAGCATCATTGCTCGAGCCAAATGCAGTCCAAGGCATGTTCTTCCTCCCATTCCAAATGCTAAAAAACTATATGGTTTTGAATCATCCTTGAATAATTTACACCATACCATATTAGACCATAGTTAATGATAAAAATGAGGTCAGTATATGTCTTAAATTTATTTGTTTGTTGAATGTGTGTACGATATATTTAGTGGGTTAGTATAAATACTGAGTATATATAACTATTTTCCCAATTTCATTGTGTTTCCTTTCTTTGGTAAACTCATGTTTGATTGTAGAGAATTACTTACATCAAATCTCGAAGGAATGAATTTATTCGGATCATGGAATATCATTGAATCAAAATGTATTGATTTAGCATCCACGTTAATGGTCCAACCTTTCTTGATCGTAAATCCTAAATTCACATAAAAATTAGAGGGATGTTAATATAATTTGCAGTTAAAATATTTCTCATAATTTTGTGTATAGAAGTCAAACCTTCAATTTCACAATCATGGAGTGCCATTCTTGGAAACCAAGGCACAATTGAAGCCATTCGAAGTGATTCCTTAATAACCTGTTGGCACAAAGCTTTAATTATTTCGAAGTGTATTGATTGCACTGTAAAATTAAACAAAAAATAAGGGGCTAATTCAAGATAAGTATAAATAAAAAAGTGAAATAAAATAAACAAATAATACCTTAGATGCATATGGCATACAATTCAGGTCTTCTAGCGTGAGGTGTGCTTTGCCAGAAACCTTTTGCTGAAGGGCTTGTTGTTCAGCCTATTCCAATCAACTTTCTAATATTAGAATTTTGGCTGTGAATTACTTTTAAAACAATCAAAGATATTATTTCATTTAAGTTGTCCTATATATTAGGTCCCACTTGCTAATTAAGGAAGGGATCATTAAAATCCTTCACTGTCAGAATTGAAACGAGTCTGAGTCTGAGTCTGATAAAAAGAAATATTTTTTTCTAACAAAGAAAAAAAGAAGAGAAATTAAAGATGTGGTGAGAACCGAACCTTACATTTAAATCTTAGAATTATACCATTAAGTATTAGTGAATTCCATACTTAAAAAGTTAGTTGTTTTTGTTACCCTAAGTTGGTTAAGGGCATCAGGATTTTCATCCAAATACTTGATCATCCACGTAATCGCGCTAGCCGTGGTGTCTTGACCTGTCCAAAAGAAAAGAAAAAATATTGCTAATTAAAATATGAGGGTTTAACGAGTAAAATAACAAAGCACTTATGTATAATCCAAGTAGATTAAATTAAAACAAACCTGCTATAATCATGGTTAGTATATTATCTTTAATCTGCTGATTTGATAACTGTATGGCTTCTTCTCCACTATCCTTGCTCAAAAGATGAGCTAGAAAATCATCAAACTTTTCTTTGGACTTTCTTCTTTTCTCTATTATCTTATCCAGTAACCTCATAATTCTTTTTCTGGCCTGCAATTAAAACTTTATGGGCTTAGATGTTGAATACGAACTTTAATGAAGAATTAATTAAATACCCATATATCCAAGCGCTTAAATTTAAAATAATCGGCGGATGCATAATATATGTATAATTCATGTATAATATGTGTATAATCATATACAGTCGTTGTATATGTATACTGGCTAGAAAAAATAAATTCTGAATTTGACCGGCTATTTATGTAAAGATTTCAACTTAATGGGCTTACATATTGTGCCTGTCAAGTAAAAATAGCACGGTATAGCCAGTTCTCGGACTGATCATTCAAAAATAGCCGGCGTTTACGAAGTCAATGAAAAATAGTCAATATTTTGCTGCAACAAAGACCGGCCCAACATAATATACTGGAGTTCGGTGCACCTGTGTATGAACTCCAGCATATTATGCTGGACCGGTATACTTTGCAGACTCCAGTATAATATACTGGAGACTGGAGCACCGGTGCTCCAAACTCCAGTATATTATACTTGTTGGAACTCCAGTATATTATGCTGGAGTTTTAGTGTACTTATGTTGGAACTCTATCATATTATGCTGGAGTTCCAGCATACTTATCTTGGAACTCCAATATAATATGCTAGAGTTCAAGCATACTTATGCTGGAACTCCAGTATAATATACTGGCGTATTTTTCGGGTTTTGAACAGTATTTTCGCTCAGATTTATCTTTACATGAAAAGTGGCTAAATTTCGATTACTTTTGAAACTGTGTTATTTTTGAACGACCAATTATAAATCTGGCTATTTTTGAATTTGTCCCGCCTGTCAATTACCTGTAGGCCTTTGTAGAATCTGGTCCATGGTAGTATTGATGGAAATGCTAGCATTGCTTCATAAATCAGCCCAACATCCTTGTGCAATGTCTCTAGTTCCTCTTCTCCTTCCAAATTCATTAACATTTTGCAGATTGCTTTAAGGGTTATCTATAACACAAGAAAAAAATGCAATTATGTTGAAACAAGCGAGCTATGTGAACCAATCAGCTATCCTTAATCTAATGTAGGAGTGTCAAATGGATAGGTTGGGCAAAATTTAAGTGGATTAAATGGTTGAATTAATAAATGAGTTGAATCATAATCCCTCCCTCAATTTGCTTGGTTCAAGGAGGGTGGGTCATTTGGAATTAATAAAGGGCCATAACTTGACCTTCCCAACTCAAAATCATTTTTCATGTGTTCATTTTATTCTTTTATAATTTCTTTAATTACCAAATCGGATTGCCATAGAAATGTCCTTTTTATTTTTTATTTTTTTAAATTTATCATGACTTTACTTAACTAACCAGAATCGACTTTTTCCCCCATAAATTTTGGGAAACTTACACAAATATCCCAAATAAGTCTCAACTTACCAACCTCTAGCCATTAATCATAGACTTACCAAAACTAGCCAAGCACATATAAAATTGAAAAACCAAATACATAAGGTTCTTTCTCTCAAAGAATCACATGCAAAAATCTCCTTCCATATTTTTAAGCGTGATTAACAACATTAGATGCAAGACGGAAATGAATTTCATGGATTAGATAGCAAATAAGGTGATGAAATACAAAAAAAATATACAATATTCAAAAAATCTAAGCAAAAAAGAAACTTTTTCAACGGGTATAGTTGAAATTCATTGAAAACATATAGATAAGTCAATATACAAAATTTGAGGAAGATTAGAGGTGATTTGAACTGGTTTTGTATCAAAATTCATAACTAAATCGAGTTCAAAAAATTCTTCTACGACCTTGTATCAAACATGTATTACGTATGTATCTCACACACAGATATACATGGATATACATGTGATACACAATTGATACAACTATGATACACAGTATGATACACATATCTTTTTTTTCATGTTCAGTTTTTACTTCGAATTGTCAATTCAAACCACCTCAAAACTTCACCAAATCATCCAAAACTGAGATTCAAGCTTCTTAAGATGTACCCAATCTATTCTAATAACACTCACTCAAAAGGAAGCAAAAAATTGACCTTTTTTTGTTACAAATATCTAATTGGCTAATATTAGTAATAGTTGGCTAATATTAGTAATATTTACAAGTGGTCATTCAAAAATAGCCAGATTTACAAGTGGTCATTCAAAAATAGCCACAGTTTCAAAAGTAATCGAAATTTAGCCACATTTCATATAAAGATAAATTTGAACGAAAACATTGTTCAAAATCCGAAAAATACTCCAGCATAATATACCGGAGTTCTAGCATAAGTATATTGGAACTCCAGCATATTATAATGAAGTTCCAGCATAAGTATATTGGAACTCCAAGCATAATATACTGGAGTTCCAGTATAATATACCGGTCCAGTATAATATGCTGGAAGTCCATATACATGTGCTCCAATTTCCAGTATATTATGCTGGAACTTTCCGCGTGTTGGAGTTCCAACATAAGTTCATACACAGATGCACTGATCTCCAGTATATTATGCTGGACTGGTCCCTATTATAGCAAAATAGTAGCTATTTTTCAATGACTTTACAAACGCTGGCTATTTTTCAATGACCAATCCAAAAACTGGCTAGCCCATACTATTTTAACAAACGTGTCATTGGGGCTGTAACGATTGCTCAAATTGGCCCAAACCCTTAGATAGGCTAAATGGGTTATGTTCAAATTTTTACCTAGCAATGAAGGGGAAGTGCACAGGCAGTCATTTTTAGGGTTAGTATTTATGAATTAGCTTGTATTTATTTTATTCTAAAAATTTGAACTAAAATTTTAATTTCAGGATAATTCAAGATATTTTTTCCCGAAAAAGTGAACTGAAAATAAATTTAAGGCATATTGACTAATTTCTAAATAACAACCATTTAGAATGGGTACTTGGCGTCTTTTGTAGAGCAATAAATATATGTGCAGTCTAATCCACCTGAATTTGGATGGGTTGGAAGAGCTACATTTGTAGAATTAAACTAAATGTGCATCCAATCGCTTAATATATGTATAATCCATATATAATATATGTATATTCGTGTATAATTAATGCATAGTTTATTTATACATGCTAAGAAAAATAAACAGCGAATCTGACGGGCTATTTGTTAAAACATTCCATAAAAAAGGACTAAAAGCACTTGGAATAGACTAATAGGAAAACCAACCTTTAGAACTTCATGGAGTATAGTAACGTTGGATCTTTGGTGCCAGGTGCTAAGATTATTAACAGTCAATTCATCAAATTGTTTAACCATTGACGATAGAGACGCAGTTGTAAACAAAGTAGTAAGATGGCTACGAATAAGTTTGTGCTGCTCATGTGAAGCACAAAGAAGGCTTTGATCTCCAACAAGCTTTGCAATTGACTTTATGTATCTCTTTGTGAAATTCTCGGTCTCGTTACTTAGAATTTTCTTTGCTGCCTTTGTGCTTGAGATAAATACATGTGTCTGCCCAAATATATTTGTTTTGAAGCAATTCCCATACCTACAAATAAAATAACAGTCATGATCCTCTATAACAATACTTCCCTATATCGGTCATGATCCTCTATAACACTACTTCCCTATATCGGTCATGTTTTCTTTGGAATCTATTTCTCTTGCTATGTTATAATATATTTTTTTATAACATTATTTCACGAACAGTCAAAAAAATCAGAACAAACAAGTATGTTATAAAAAAGTTTGACTGTATACCTGAGATGTCAAATGTTGTCACACACTAATAATCTAGAGAGCATATAAATTCTCTAACCATACACAGAGTCCGGCCTACTCCTACTATTCTTTGATTGTTAACCGGAACTCTTTCCAGAAATAAGCCATATTTTTATTGTTTAATTGCCAGAAAATATTTTTCCAAGAAAAAATATTCAAACAAAAAGGTAAAATGATATTGCTCACTTTTCGGCGGAAGTCATTTGTCTTCAAAATTATCTTAACTTTTAACATCAACTGCTTTAACCAATAATTGAAAATTATTATCAATGTTTAATACTCAAAAACTTCACCAAAAATAGTATCCGGTTTGATAAAATATACTAATCAATATTTGATGCATGTTCTTTCAGAAAATATATTTCACTTTCTAATCAAATATTAGAAAACTTTTTACAGAAAGTATTTTTCCTAAAAATAAGTCATTCTTTTAGAAACATTTTCGAAAAATGACTTTCATCGTCTCAAATATAACTTTAATTGATTAAAATCAATACTATCGACGAAATTTCATTATTGCTAGAAAAAATTAAATTACAAAATTTTACGACACATATATTCTATCAGAACAGTCAAAACACATCAATACTGTATCCTATTCTAGTAATGACCTAATAATAAATTGTTCTTACTTGAGTCGTCGAACTTTGACAAAATCATAGAAACCTTTGTTGCTATTAATGGCAGCCATGAAATGGATGGTTTCTCCGATGAACGGTAATCCCCGGTTGCCCTGCGGAACTTTCGCCGGAGTTTTTGCAGTAGTATTATGCCTTAACATCTTTAAAGATCGCACAAATAAATATAGCAATCCCAAGTAGAGAACTATGTACCAAAACCAATAAAGTAAACGAGACGTGTGATTGAGTAGTAGCTGCATTTTTTCTCCTAGAATTCTAAGTCCTAAACTTGTGCCTCAGCTAAAAATGAAAGATTGTTGAAAAGTGAGTCTTGAAAATTTGAATGATAAAGCTAAATGAACGGTTGGAATGTTCAATTTTTAATTTAGGGGACAAGAAATTATGGAATGTTTAAATGGATGTTTCCACTTAGGGAATTAAGTGCTCTTTGACAGGACAAATTTTGGGTATTCAAATTACAGTCACGCCTCTCTAACAACATTTCTATATAATAACACTTCACTATATAGGTCAAGCTTTTTCGGACCAATTTTTATATTATGTTATAATATATATTCTCTATAACAGCCAAAAATATTTGGAACAAACAAGACTGTTATAGAGAGGTTTGACTATATATATCCCTGTATAGCCAACTACCTCCACTAATTGCTTCTTGTTTAGCCAAGTTGTACGATGCTTCTTCTTTTTCTTTTTTGTTTTTTCGTTTTAATTTTGTTGGGTCCATATTTGAGAGTGCACTAGTTAATTTACTACATCATTCGACATTCATACAGATTTAATTTGATCTTGCCCTACAGCTGGTCTCCTCTCGATGTTGTAGTGTTAGATAAAAGAAAGAGAACATGCATCTACTCCCTCTGTCTAAAATTATGTAGAGTTATTTCTAAAAACAACTATCTTATTATAAAGAGAATTCTATTTATGGTGAATGTCCATATTTAGAGAGATTCTAGGGTTTATTGCTTGGTGGTTAAGCCAATCTCTCCCTATAAATAGAGGATTCTATTCCATTATAATTCATTCCAAAATTCAATAAGAATTCCCTCTTTCTCTGCAATATTGCTCTTATTCTTTTATTGTTTTATAACACGTTATCAGCACGAGACTCTAACCAATTGAGTAGAAGATTTGGGATTGAGCATAATGATTGTCAATTATTCTATGAACTTCCTTCATGATTAAATTCTGGATTTAAGGTAAGTATTTTACTTTTCTCTTTCAAATTCTTGACATTCTATAATTTGATTTTAAATACAAGCAAAGACGATAAATTTTGATTGCAACTCTAATGGAGTTTGAAAGAAATTATAACCACCCAAAGTGGTAAAATTTCTATGCCTTGTCATGATCAAATTCATGTATGATTGTGGGCAAAGAATTGAAAACCCGTCCCACTGAATTTGCTCCATTCTCATTTCCTTTAGAGAATGTGATAGCAATATGTGATAAGTCTGAAAGAAGACAAAATTACTACTATGAAAGTATCAATGGATGTGGACGTGGCAATAGACGAAATTATAATCGTCATCATTGTGGTAATGAGAACAATAAGGATTATCAAAATAATCCTTCACTTCGTGAAAGTAATATTTGTCATCAATTTGACATGAGATTTTGTAAAGCACATATAGATGATTATTGTCCATTCATGATGTGAGTGTGATAACATGTGATTTATTAATGCATATTCATTTTTGGAAGAATATGAACGTGCTAGTGGTAGTGAATATACCACACTCACTTCTAGAAGGAGGTTTGAGATGATATAAGAAAATAATGTCATTATTATGGCATGAATGGTCATTGGTCACATACTTATTGTACGCCAAAATATCTTTGCATTGTGATTAATAAAAGATAACAGTAATGCAAGAAACAGATCTTGCATATAATTTTGACCATAACCATAATGGTATAACTTTCTCTTTAAAAGAGATATTCACCATATTGATGTTGATGAATATGTGGTAGTACAAAATTAATTGAGAACTCTGCAAGAGCCAATTATACTATTTTGGAGAAACACAATTGATTACCAATAAGGTATTGTGTTGTAGTAAGTCTCAAAGAAACTTATTCAGTTTCCAAAGTACACGCGAAAGCAGTTGATTATATTGAGACTATAAATAAAGGAAAGATTTAATATCTTCTATTACTACAACTTGTAGCGGGGTAATATGTATGTGAAAAGTTACCCGCTTTATTCTTCAGTTTGTACTACACAAATAAAAGAATGCCACAATAAAGTAGAACTTTATTGATATAAAACTCATATCATAATAAACTTGGAGTTTATTGATATCCAGTTGACATAGCTGGTTTAGTCATATCAATTTAAGTATGATGTGCAAAAATAAAAGAGAATTCAAATGAGTAAACATTAAAGAACTAGAAAGTACTTTACGAATTCTCCTAGGTTGCTTGTTCTTATTAATTAGTAGACCAACTAAAATTAGGATTGAATCTCATAAACGCTGGAATTATCAAAAGTGAATATGGGCCCATTCACTTGCCATGTATACCACATAAGATGCATCTATGAGATGGTTACATGTGCGATTATTATTAACTCGCAATATGGTGTTTTGCGAGGTAACTTGCTCAATAATTTAATTTCGAGCATAATTTCCAGATTTTCTACTCAAGAAAGTTTATCTTGATAAGTTGGTTTACATCACAGTTGGTTTAGCAAAATAATTTATTGAGTGTCTCCACTTTATAGCTAAACTATTGCTTTTGAGAACAAAGTTACCTATATCAGTTTGTATATTACATTCTCCCCTCACAAGTGGTTCGGGTTTCGGAACCAAATAATTCCATCTTATTATTATTGATGTGCGGTGTATATTTTCATTAACACCATAATGCACAAAGATGGATTTCCAAAGTTGAGGAAGCAAGTTAGTTTTTCTAACATGAGGGGGAGACAAGATACAACGTTTTATCGTAGATGCGGGACCGCATCTGCGGAGGAGAGGACGCAGAAGCGGAATGGGCTGGGAGCCCTGGACCGCAGAAGCGGAGTTTGGTTCGCACCTGCAAGACCGCAGAAGCGGTTAAGAGACCGCAGGTGCGGAAAGGGCTGGAGGCAGTGGGTTGTTTTAAAGTCGGGATTTGGCCATTTTCTTTCATCTTTCTCATGGCTTGGGCGATTCTTGGAGGGTTTCAAGAGGGGGTTTTCATCATCAATGACAAGGTAAGCTAACCCCACCTATCTTGAGTTAAATACATTAATTATGTGCGGATTTGAGCATGAAAATTTGGTAAAAACATGGGGTTTGAGGGGAAACCTAGAAAATTCGTATTATTGGAATTTGACCACAATTTTGGGTATGAAATTAAGATAAAATCATATATTTGAGTTCGTGAGTTCATGGATAAACTTTATCTTTGAAAAATTTCGGAATCCGGGCTCGTGAGCCTGAGGGCAATTTTGTTAACTTTTCGATCGGGGTTAGGAATTGTTATAAATTGGATTGTAATGAGTAATTGAACATATATTAATGGATTTACATAATTATTGGCTAGTTTGGGGAGCATTGTGCATCGATTCGAGTGTTCGGAAGAGCGTTGAATGCCGGTTATGGATCTTTGGAGCGAGGTGAGTCTCCTTTCTAACCTTGTAGAGGGAATTATCCCCATAGGTGAAATAATTGGTTATGTGCTCCTATTTGTAGGGGCTACGTACACACGAGGTGACGAGAGTCCTTGCGTAGCTGCTATTATGTATAAGTCTGGGTAGTTTAGGACCCAAAAGCATGCCATACTTGGAATACTTGTAACCTTGATGACCATTTGAATTGCTTAAACCATATTGGATTAGTAAATGAATTTCTAAAAAGATTTAAACTTCATTTTCAAAAATCTTTAAAAGAGAATTGGCATTCCTTTGGATAATTGTTCCCTGTTGACTTCTTGATTGACTGTCTGTATGTGCTTAATTTCGGAGCGGGCCGAACACCTCGGCAGATTAAATAGATGCATCTATGGTTCGCGTCATTAGACCCTTTGGTAGTGCACGGTTTAAATATTGTTGGATCGGGCCGTACGTCCTCGGCATGATTTGCGCATGCTTGTATTGCTTGCCTTGAGATTTATTGATATTGATATTTGCTCTCCCTGACTTGAGATAATTGTTAATTAATGGATTATGAATCCGAAAACTTTTGATAAAAAAGGGGCTTTTACCTGATTCGTGACTTATTTGAATTTACTGTTGTTCTTAATAAATCCGTGTTTCATTGCATTAATAATACTACTATGGACCACTAGTAAGTGTCGAAGTCGACCTCTCGTCTCTACTTCTTCGAGATTAGACGGGATACTCATTGGTACACGTTGTTTTCGTACTCATACTACACTTGCTGTGCATTTTGTTGCACAGGTTCATATGTGGCTAGTGACTTAGTGGCATAACGGCAAGGTTGATACGGAAACTTAGGTGAGCTGCATTTATCGAGACGGCCCACAGCCAACAGAGTCTCTTTCAGAGTATTATATTTCATTTCTATCCTCTTGTATTCCGGACAGTCACTGTATTTTATTTCATTCGCTGGTAGATGCTCATGCACTTGTGACACCGGGTTCTGGGAGGATCACGGGGTATCTTGTATTAACTTCTTAAAAATTATATTAGACTTGAAGCGATTATCTTTTACTGGTAAAATTGAAGGAAAATTATAGTTTTCAAAATTATTAAAACGAGAATTTAATTAAGTAGCTTGGTTGGCTTGCCTGACAGCGGTGTCCGACACCATCACGACCCTCAGTGGATTTTGGGTCGTGACACAAAGAAGGTTATCTTTTTGCCATTTAAGAATTAAGCGTACGAAAATTTGTACTCTTTATATGAGATTTGGAAAATAAGAAGTTGATAAAATATATGTATTTTTACATTGATATTTTAATGAAATAATAGTGTATGTATTGATTTTATATAGTACCACGTGAACATGATAGTAAGGTGTATAAAGTGTATTAAAAGTGAATAGTATTTTAAGTAATTTGAGATAATTCTTAACCATATAAGTAATTAATTAATTATTAGTTAATGGGAGATTAACTAATTAATTAAGAATTAGTAAATAATTAATTAAGAACCTTGGATAAGCCTAAGGAACTTTTTAGCGTGGCAGCAAATCAAGGCATATTTGGTGACTATTAAATCATTAAACAAGGTGGCATAATTAGGAGAATTGGCCAAAAAAACTCATTCTTATCAAGCGGGGCCCACACTACCTTAATAAGGAATATTTCTAATCTATTCATTTATTTTAGGAAAGATATCACACAAGATTATGATCAACTACACAAAAACAAAATAGAGAAGCTTACCTCCCATCACTAAGTAACGACCTTCAACAAGAATACATACGAGACTTCTTA